GTGGCTTCAGCAGGTACAGGCATGCGTGCGGAGACGGAGAAAGTGGTCATTGTGTGCGAGCCTCAAGACAAATCTGAACGCATGATGTTCTTGTGTTGGCAATTGCTTCGATGCATTGTATATTCAACCCTCGAAATGTATGTACATTGCTTTTTTGTTTGTACGGTAAATATGACTATTATCATGGGAACTTTTGTTGTCAATATCAAAGTATGATAAATAATAATAATGCTTTATCCTTTCTGGCAATAAAACAGGAGGTGCTAAGATGTTCAAACACCAAATAGATTTTGCAAGAAATCAAATCTGCATTAACCACACGCACTTGTGAACACGCAAACAAACACGCTCTAATAATAGATAAATTGTCTTCGAAACTGCCCTACACCAGAGACAGCCTTATTCATGGCCTAGTCTAACCAGTATCAGACCAGATATACTAAAACAAAAAAGGTAGTATTTTGTCAAGCCACTGCCGAATGACGGCGTCACCACGTCGTCAGGGTTGTTTGACCATTCTTCACCACGCCGGTCAATGCGGGATGGTGAAGAAGTGGAAGTAGAAGGGGTGGGAAGGAAAGGTTCTCATGAAGGAACATCGCCACTGAAGTTATGGCCGGGAATTTCACTCGATCCATCTGATTCATGGCGCAGTTGTTGCGATGTCACCGAGCCACCACGACCCCCACACTGCCTATGGTATATAAATGGAGGAGCGATTTAAAATATGTGATAATGATATTAAGTATTCACATAAAGTTACACGAAACCAGATGTTGACATTTGCAAATGATGGAATATGATCAGTGGTGTAAGGGGTTGGGGGGGGGGGATAAAAAAAACCTTTATTTAATATATTACATACGTGCACTATATTAATATGCATTGGCCCATGGGATTTCGCTGTGCTTAGGTATATACTCAACAATACATTCCACAAGGTAGACATAAGCATGTCATTATTACACATACATCACATTGTGATGTGATGTATTTTTTTATAACGCATGTCTACATCGTCCCGAGCTGATCCACGCAGCTCACACATATGCATGGGTACATCCCTGGGGCTATGATGTTTGAGACCTGTTCTGGACTAGATGAGCATTGTAAACCTTAAGTCCTTCTCGCACTCTCACAGCGAGCAATGACACATCTGGGGCACGTGTCTCTAATTAGGCCTCTGCCCGCACACCCGTTCAATGGTTACTATGGCACTAACAGCGAGCACGCAGTACACTCACGTACAGTCGTGTGCATTCCTTACTATCTCCAAAAGTGCAAATGTGCAATTCCTTACTGAGCGCAACGACAACTTTTTGTGTGTACTATGTACATATATAGTTTGTACACTGCACGCGCTGCTGTGAAACACACGTAACCGCGTCCAGTTGATGTACATGTCCACCCCTTTAGGTTTTCAATCCACTGCTGGATGATGCCTTCATCTATTGCTGCGAACACATAAGTACTTGAAATGAATGTTTAAGAAAAAACGTACGTGTTACCGTGTTTATGAACTCACCACGTGTAATACACACCCATGTATATATATACACACACGCATATGTATATGCCTTGTGTGCACCACACAGAGCGTCGTACATACAATCGAGATAATTGCGCCTTGAACACCCTCCGAAGTTTGAGAAAACTGTTAAAGGAACCCACCTTCTCCTGTAGCAGTGGTGGACATCATGCGCAGACAAAGCGACGTGTGAAATGGGCCCAAACTTTAAGTGCATGTCCACATTAAAGCGTTTTTTCTATGTATATACAGGACAAAGAGACCTAATATATCTTGATTTTAAGCTTTCGTGACTGCAGGTCTCCATCATACTCTTTGGTTCTTTCGGTAAAGTCACGTAGGTAGAAAAAAAATAATAGATCACGACGTTTCGATCGCAACACAAACAGCCGTCATCAGGTGTGGAACAAACAGCAGTCCTGCAGTGTTTGTTTCACACCTGATGACGGTTGCTTGTGTTGCGATCGAAACGTCGCGATCTAATATTATTTTCTCTACGTACGCGACTTTACCGAAAGAACCAAAGAGCATAGATGGATCCCTTAACAGAGCATGCGTGGACTGTTGGGTCACGTTCTGTTAGCAAGAGCCTAAGAAAGAATGCTGGCACACGGGTCACCACGGGAAGTGTCGTGGGCTAAAACCTCGCCCTGCCGTCTTTGTCTCCCCAGTGTTGATGTTTTTCACACCGCACCAGAAACTGCGCCGTCTCGGCCTCCATTTGTGGTCCGCCGTGTCGCAGTCGATGCTGGTGATGTGCGCGGTGTCTCTTACCTCTACGGGTAGAATATGCAACACGCATATTGAAGACAAAGATCCCCCGTGTAGCCTTAACAGACTGCTGGGACAAGTGCTGTTCGCGGGCACCCCGGTTGTGATGTTTATTATTAACACACCACACCTGGTACTCATTTAAGGCCAAGTCGACCTAAGGGAGAGGTATCTTTTACTGATGTTGGCCGAACCGGGGGTCCCGGGGTTCTCAGCGCAGCGCGCTAAATATCTCACTTGTGAACGTGTAATATTAACGACGCTCCTCACACTCCATCTATACACACACACACACAAAATCATGCACCAGTAATTATCGAGCGCATGAATGTAATTCAGAGAGCTGTGTTGTTGAGTCAGAGCAGTGTTTTATTTGCAAAGACAATCGGATCTCTTAGAAAAGGAGCTATTCACAGATAAGGCTCTTAAGTGCACATTGTATACTGACACGGGTATACGAAATTAGGTCTGGAGACGTTTGGAGCCGCAACTTCAGAATATACACACCGCACAAACGACGGACGTCCCCGTTCAGCCGTATTAGAATGCTGGGGGCAAGTGCTGTTAGCGAGCACCTATTAAGGGCATCACGGCACATACGAGGTCCCGCAGAACGACCGGCCGCCTTTGTCTTCCATCGTATGCCGTGGTGTTTGTGTGTGTCTAGTTTGTTGTCCTTCCCCCCCCCCCGCACCCCCCCGATTAGCACGAGTGGCTACGTACGGTGCGAAAGAAGTTCCACACACATGCACAGACGTTGTTAACACACGGCCGGGCACCTTGCACTGAATTTTTGGCCGAGTTCACCTCGAGGAGGCTCTAGCCCAGCAAGTTACGAATACCATTTATTTTTGGTGTGAACCATCGTAACCATTAATTATATTCTAGATCGCCCTGGATCGTAGCGCAGTGAGCGACAACCCCCACTGCACACAGACAGACGCACACCGACACATCTGGACGGGATATCGCCCCGACAAAATGTTTGACGGCAGCTGCGATACGCGGTACGACATGGAGAGGTTCGACGTTTCGGGGGGTGGGGGGCGGCGTGGACTGAACTCCGCACCTTTCCCGATTCCCAAGCGCCTCGCCGTTCGACCCCGGCCCCCACGACTGCCTTTCCTCAGAGCTCTCCACATCAGCGACCCCTTCCTCTCGTCAATTAACCCGACGATAAGACGACTACCCCCCCTCCACCCCCACCTCGAACCCTTCCCGTCATATCCCCCTCCTCCTCCCACATCACTTTATTTTTGTTCTCTCTCCTCCCCGTAACAGATTCCCGCTGTCTCCACCTCGTCAAGAGATAGCTGGACGCGACACACACACACAAAAGCAATCATGCCGCATGCGTTTAGGAAAGGCGCGGTGTGTGTGTGTGTGCGCGTGCGTGCGTGCGCGTGCGTGCGCGTGCGTGCGCGTGCGTGTGTACGCAAAGACAAAGGGTTGCCACCTTATAGCCGACACAAGCTCTCGGGGGGGGGGCAAAGTTCCGTGAAGCACCCAATGAAGGCCGCAGCACGGCGCACGAGGTGGGTGGTGTGGCCGGCACCACGGCCAGTCGCCCGCCTCTGTCACCCCCCACAGCGCTGCTGTTTACACACGGTGACAGCTAAGGGGCCATCCATTTAGTAGGTATGCAAAAATCTGTCAAAACTTGACCCCTCCCTGTACGCACGTGTACTTTTTACACCTCCCCCCCAACCTGCGTACGTACAGCCTGACGCCCCCCCCCCTCCCCCCGAATCCTATAGAACGGCTTGTATTTAATCCACGCAGAAATGATCAAGGATTAACAATATTAACGTATTTAAACAAACATAGTCCACCGCCGGACTATCTAACTCATTTGAAGGCCAACAATATAGACAAATTATTGTCGAGGCTTCACCCCCCCCCCCCCGATTTCCTATACATTGTCAGTAGACCCCCCATACGCAAGCGTACGCATTGGGTTAACCCCCCCTCCCCCCTCCATGCGTACGTACTAAATGGATGGCCCCTAAGTGATTTAACACCGAGTCGACCAAAGGGGAATGCTCAAGACCGGTTTAGAGATTCGTCACCGATGCTTGGCCGTGGTCTTGTCGAGCGCTGTGCGCTGGGCACTACGGCCACCACTCTCCACAGTGCGCACGGACTCACGAAAACGCAGAGATCCCTCGTGTCGCGCCTTCAACGGGCTGTGTTGGAGCACGTGCTGCTATAGCGAGCATCTTAAGTCGTGGACACGGCACACGATGGGGGCGCCCGGCCAGCCTTCGTCTCCCCAGGCGCTGATGTTAAAACACCGCAGCAAGTCCTCGTTTAAGGCGGAGTCGACCTAGCCGAGGCCCGGGACCGGGCTCAGATAGACGCCACTGTGTTTAACCGGTCGTGAGCGTCAATTGAACTCGGGTCGTTGCGCCAATCATTGCCATTGCCGCCACCGCTCTCCACGTGTCTTTGTGTGCACACACGCACAGACGAACACGCGCGTGCACACACACACACACTCACACACACGTGCATTATTGCCGCGTTCTCAAGTCAACGTCTCACACCGCCTCCTTGACACGCGTGGTGTTGAGATCGTTTACTCCAATGTGAACTAACAGCCCCCCCCCTTGACCACCCCCTTGACCACCCCCCCCCCTTGACCCCCCATGCCCCCCCTACGGCCCCCACCCTCCCGCACACCCCTGCAGTGTCACCCCCACTTCACGCCTAACGAGCAAAACCCACGTTCTTTACATGTGCACAGATACAGCCTATATAAAATCAATTATTTATTTACTTGCCGTGGTTCTTCATACAGTATTTATATAATACCGACATATCGCGGGGGGAGGCGGGGGGGGTCTGTTTAAATATATATTTTAATATATATTGTCATTGCCATATACGTGGTTCCTAAGTCATTTTCAACACGTACAAAAGTATAGTTCTTTTGTAGGAAGCTGTACATGTCATTTTTTGAGGTCCCAGCCTCTGCAAATTCATTGTTTGCCGACTTCGTAGCGTCCACAATTTATAATACAGTATTTATATATAATTACACCTAATCAAATTCCTTGTCGCGTCGTTTCTGTCCCCCCGTCCAAACAGTTTGACGAGAGAGACCACCTCAACACCGCAAGAGTTAACTTACTTCCGTTGCCTCCTTGAACCTTCATCTCCCCCCCCCACCCCCTCTCCAAAACAGTCCCAGAAAAAAAATCATAAACCGGACTTTTTTTCCATAAAACTTAAATAAAACAACACACAAGCCGCTGATGGGCCTACTGCACGTGTCACTGCAAGGGCAGTCTGGTGACATCAGCTGCCGTCGCCTGTCCCAACACATCGCTTGCTTGCTGCTGCTGATGCTGCTGATGATGCTGCTGATGATGCAAGCGGCACGTGGCGCCACGGGTCGCCGTGGTCGAGGCGCTTCGAGAAGTCGTCATTAAGTGCTCAATTCGCTTGTGGGGCAGAGAAGGGAGGAGATGAGGGAGCAAGAGGCAGAGACGTCCACTGCTCAGCCCGTCGTGTCCTACACAACCCCCCCCCCCCCTCAGAGCGCGGCACGGGCACACGCGCAGCCCGCCCCGGCTGCTCATCTTGACGTTGGCCCATGCCTGACGCGCAAGTCCCTCCAAGCTGATTGCAAGTCCACGCGTAGCCTCGTGCGCGACACGCACAGCCGCGCACCGATTGCGCCTTTGTCTGCGCTTGTCATCAGCAGGCTACCCCCCCCACCTCCCAGCCACAACATCAACAAGCGCTGTTGACAATCCCAGTCGCTCCTCTTTCTACAGATGGTTCGCTCGCCGTCTTTGTCTCTCTCGGCGACTGCAGCCAGCCGGCCGGGCCCCATCCTCCCCACACCTCCAACCTTCCTTACACTGCCCCCCTCTCCCCCCGCCTTGCTCAGGACGACTCCGGGGCCCACGTCTAGACCACGGAGGCGACTGACGAGACGGACGTGATCTTGCCGGGGCTCTCCTCTGCCCAGGGCTGGAGGTTCTGCAGGGCGTAGAGCGACGCGTTGTGCAGGCACAGCGGGTCCGGGTTGACGGGCTGGCTGAGGCTCTTCTGAAAGGCTTCCTGTTGCAGCTGCATCATGATGCGGTTCGCCTGTTGCCGCTCCGCTTCGCGCTCCTCCGCCGTCTGCCGCCTGCGAAGAGCGGAACGCATTGCATTGCACCGCACTGCTAATGGGCCCGGCGGTCATCACAGTAACCCAGTGATTTCGTGTTTTTTTTTTTTAGCCGCAACAGTTCGGAACGCCGTTCCGGGAAATATATATTTGTTTTGGGGGCTTTTGCCACGGCACATCAAACTCGCCTTAGTGCGTGCTCTCGTGATAACGACACACACACACGTGTTCATTTGGATTGTCGAAATACAACGGGTGCAATGTCAGAGGATTCATTGTGATTAGGCATACCGTGTACTTTAGTGGTAGTGCCTTACGCCCATAATCACTACCCCAAGCCATTCTTAGCAGTGCTCCGTATCATATCTAGTGGGAAATTAAGCCCTGACGATGATAATAATAAAACGGTGTGCATGCGCGTCGGACGACCCCTACAACAATGGATTTTTGCAGCGGTGTCCTCCGCTGCCCACTCAGTGTACAGTATATATATGTACTGCACATGAACAACTTAAATACACATCAGGTAGATAAGCACGAGCGTCAAGGAGACACGTGCCAGCACAAAGACCGCTCCGTATAGCCTGCAACAGGTTGCTGTTAGCGAGCACTTATTAAAGCCGCCACGACACGCGAGGGGGTGGGTGGGCCAGCCCCACGCCCGGCCGCCTTTGTCTCCCCAGTGGTGATGTTAACGCACCACACCAGGTACTCATTTGAGGACCGAGTCGACTTAAGGGAGGCCCAGGACCGGTTCAGATAATCGTCACTGGTTGGTGGCCGTGAGCGGGAATCGAACCCGGGTGGCCGGGTTCGTAGCGTAGCGCGCTAACCGCTACACTACACGCACACACAGACAAAGACCCCCCGTATAGCCTTAACAGACTGTCGGGGCAAGTGCTGTTTAGCGAGCACCTATGAAGGCCGGAACGGTACACGAGGGGGTGGGTGGCCAGCACCACGCCCGACCGCCTTTGTCTCCCTAGTGGCAATGTTTACACCGCACCAGGTACTCATTTGAGGCTGAGTCGACCTAGGGGAGGGCCGGGACCGGTTGTTGGCCGTGAGCGGGAATCGAACCCGGGTGGCCGGGTTGGTAGTGCAGCGCGCTAACCGCTACACTACACGCACACACAGACACGCACACACAGACACACAACATCCATGTGCGAAATGCGTGGGGTTTCCACAAAACTCCAGCGTGGTTGCCATGGGCCCCCCGTGATTCTAGTAATTCAATGGGGCCCCCCACACCAGTTCCCGCCAGACCCCCGCCCCCTAGGTTGACTTTGCTCTCCGTGTTGACCCAATATCTATTTTATCGTATCCTTGTAATCGATCTAACAAAAAATGTTCAACCGAATAAATAGCACTTAATCCAGAAAATATGTTTGAGAACGTAATATATGTCTGTAGTCGCGCGCATTAGAATCAGAATATGTATTTATTTATAGCTCATCGGATTCCTACAGTATAAATAAATATTCTGATTAGAATGATGTCTGTGTGTGGTCTGTGTTATAGATCGAGACATCACGGACGAAGGGAGTCAAAACATGCTGGGTGAACAATAGGCCTTCTGTGTGATGTTGTAGGTGTATAGTTTTATATACACACGTACACACATGTGTAGATTGTACAGCGGTTTCACAGTCACGTGTTTAGTGAACCTAGTTGAGATACTTTGCGTTTCTAAAATATGTAGTGGGCCTATATAGCCCTCTCCACAATGCCACTACTTTAAGACAAATACAAAGATCCCCCGTATAGCCTTTACCAGACTGTTGGGGCAAGTGTTGTTAGCGAGCACCTATCACGGCACACGAGGGGTGCGTACCTACGTCTCCCTAATGCTGATGTGCATTATACAATCTTTTACCAGAATCAGAATATTTATTTAGACTGGAGGAATCCGAGGAGCCTCGAATCTCTTTTTCACAGATGTCCAGATACTCGTTTTAAGGCTGAGTCGACCTAGGGAAAGCCCATTAACGGTTCCCGATATTCCTCATCGATCTTGGGATCGCAGAGTTTTATAGCAGTTCGCTACCCATGCCAGGAGAGAGTCCTCGATAACACGCAGCGGTGCTCTCAACATCAAGAGCAGCGATTCAAAAACTCCAGTGATGGGGACCCACCATCACGTGACATCCACCAATTTACATACTCGCCATTTAAATGCAAATCCAGTCGTTCTGACGCTGCACGCGCCCGATGATTGTTCAACATGTCCCACGTGACGCGAGAAACAATTAACTTTGTCTGCTGCACGCGCACGCCGAGATCTCAATCTTAACTTCAATCGGCTCCGTTATCGCAGACGGCGTTAATTGCGCGTTACGTGGGACGCGTTTGAGTTAATTCGTATTTTAATGAGTAAATAGGCACACGAGAAAAGACGAAGCCTTTTAGGGACTCGGGAAAGTTTTCTCTCTATCATGTAGCACTTTACGCAGCATTTACATCATGTGCATTCGATGTCAAGTCTGTACCAGTACTCTATGACGTGATATGCAAAATTAGCGTGTTCACTCACGTGGTGATTCATTAACCAACCACCTTCTCTGCTATTTATACCAAAGTGATCCACAACACATCGATTTGTATTTTGACCCATTTCAATCAATAGCAATGCATCCCTCATATACGCACTATTGGTACTAAATTCATTAACTCACGAACAATGAAATAGTTATATGCATTTCCATTTTGAAATGTTACATTATTAACAATTACATTGCTTTATGAGATCTCTTTTAACAGTGGCAAAATATAGTAGTAGGTTTTTACCCTTTTAAACTGGTACAAAACTGACACCTTTATTCAAGGCATCATGTTTGCAATAACCACAACACAAGTAGTCAAAAAAACAAACTAAAAGAAACAACTCTGATCCCCATTGGGGACTAGGCTCTAAAGAAAGCCGTCTCGGGTGTGGACCAATCAACTTCAAGGACAGTGCATATTATTATCATTATCAGAGTTGCTTGTTTTTGTTTGCTTTTTTGACTACTTGTGTTGTGGTTATTGCAAACATGATGCCTTGAATAAAGGTGTCAGTTTTGTACCAGTTTAATAGGGTAAAAACCTACTACTAATTACATTGCTTTTTAGAATATTGATCTAAATTAACCTTCCCTTTAATCGTTGTATTTCAAAGTCACTTTATATGTAACCGCAGCCTACAGATAGTTCACTATCTGTTGGCACTATCACATCGGCTGGGTGCGTGCTGCTGCCCTCCCAGGCTCTGTAGCTCGTGGCGGCTCGTGCACTCGGAATAAGCCGCATCGATTGACCTCGGTTGTAAAGGAGGCACGCGACGTGCGCGTGCATCAATTTAATCGAGTTTGTAGGAATACCCCTAATGCATGTTTCTCGATTTGTACACAAATTACATATACAGGTTGGTCCAGATGTATTCTGAGCACCCCCCCCCCTCCCCCATTTAATTCTCTAAAACGTATCATATATGTAAAGTAAGGTTTATTTAAAACAGAATATATGTTCGGGGTCAATTCATTGTGGGGGACGGGGGTCACATGACATCTGCACCACCCTGTAGATTAGAAGCCAAATGGTGTAGCGATGCCATTGCAGCAACGACAACAAGAATGTTAATAAGAAACAAAATTTGACGCAGAACAAGAAGCAAGCGACTACAATACAACGTCGAAATAATCCAAATTCAGATGGCGCGCACACAGCGTCGTGGTTGTCGCCGGTGCAGTTGCACCGCCTGTACACTCGATAGCCGGACTCACGATTGGATCGTGATGATGATGATGATCACTCTTGGCCATTGTTCAATTCGCGGGGCCGCACTGGGATGATTCGGTGTGGGGGTGAGGGGATATGCAGACAAAATATCCCCCGTGTAGCCTGAACAGACTGTTGGGGCAAGTGCTGTTAGCGAGCACCTATGAAGGCCGGCTCGGCACACGAGGGGGTGGATGTCCAACACCACGCCCGGCCGCCTTTGTCTCCCCAATGGCGATGTTTACAAACCATACCAGATACTCATTTGAGGTTGAGTCGACCTAGGGGAAGCCCAGGATCCATTCAGATCATCGTCACTGGTGTTGGGCCGTGAGTGGGAATCGAACTTGGGTCGCCGGGTTCGTAGTGCAGTGCGCTAACCACTGCACCACCGCTCCCCATAGGACACGCGGACAGACACACACTGACACTCACGAATGCATCCCCTCACTTGGAGCATGATGGACGCTCGCAGTGTCCACTCGCGAAAGATGGCCCAAGTGAGTGTGTACATTAAGAAAGCAAAAGTGTCTTTGTATTGGCCGTTACGACTGTAAATATTTGGAGTCGTTGCACGGGGTAGAGAGGGTGATTGATTAGCTCCCCCCCCGGCCCCCTCCCCTTCTTCGATCCTCCTTCCCCCGCCCCTTCACTTTCCCCCAAAACAACTACGGCCATTGCACACGAGCAGGGGACACACACACACACAGTCTTCGTAACGTGTGCACCAAACCACGTGGACGTGCACGTTCAACTTCCATCGCACCGTACGTGACCTGCAGCGCTAATCGGAGGCGCCCTGTCAATCCACTGCTGGATGAGGGCCTCCCAACGACGCTGTGTGGAATCTTAAGTGGTGGGGGAAGGGAGGAGGAGGTTGTTAGACCATACTTCACCGCCCCGGTCAATGCGTGTTGACGAAGGTGCGGGTTCGGACGTGACTGGGTGTCGTGGTGGCACCGTGCTGCTTAGCGCATCGAGCACTGGGGCTCGATGAACCCACAGAGTTCCGTTCCCAGCCACGGGGGAAACATCAGTGGCGCGTCACGTCTCAAATCGGTCTTGGTTCGCCTACCTCCCCCCCCCTCCACCCCGCACCAATCCACACCTAACCCGCACCTCCGATTGGCACGGTTAGCTACGTACGGTGCGAAAGAAGTTCAACATCCATAACCAACACGTTCAAGTAAGATTTTTTTTTGGAGGGGCTGCTTCATCCAGCAGTGGATTCACAAATGCCTGTACATGTAGTTCGCATG